ATATATAATAATATTTTATAATTATAAATTTATAATATTAATCACAACTTAACTATGTCATTTAGAAAAAAAGAAAAAAGGAAAAGAAAATGATATATTGAATCGCGCAAGGTTATGCACGCTACTTTAAAACAAGTTCATGGATCCTAAACACGATTTTTTTTTTTTTTCTTCTTGGCCGAGATCCTAGATATGATTAGAATCTTGTAATTTAGCAATGGAAGATTATATTTCATTATTGTAGCTTGCAAAAAATATTTTTAAAATTAAAGGTAATCAGAGAATCTAAATTCCGTAGATACATTTTTCTTGAAAAGTCGATTATGACCATCTCAAATGGTCCTGGTTTTGTGTTTGTTTTTTCCCTGAGGTCAGAACAGGAATTATACGAGACTCCATCGGCAGAAATCACGGAGAACCGATGCTTTTTTGTCTGTTGTTCGGCCTTTTCCTTTTTGGCCCAGTGTTCTGCCGAAGGACAAAAAAGAAGCATTGGATTAGTTAAAAAAAAATTGTTAAGTATTTAATTAGCAACTGTATATATTCTTTAAAGAAAATATTACAAGTCGAGTAATATTATGGTTGCAATATTAGATAAAATTATAATTATAATTATAAGAGAAAAGAGACAGCAACTTCCTGTATATTATCAACAGATCGCAATTTCACAAGGGTTATCTTTGAAAACTTAAATTTGAATTTAATGTATACATTTTAAATATATATATTTAAGATACATATAATTTAAATACATATATTATAAATATTTTGTTTTGGTACATTTTATAATAATGAATTATACAAAAAAATATAACCCTCCTTTTACCTAATTTCTCCCTTTCCGTAATTCCTTGCTTTTTCTAATTCTTTCTTCCTTCTCATCTTAAAATTTTTAATTTGAAATCTCAAAGTTTTAATTATTTAATTACTTCTAAATGGTAATTGTATTATAAATATTTAATAAAACACACAATTTGGATAAATTAAATTACTATAAAATTAAAATTGATTTGATGTTAATATCTCTTATTGATACATTTTTACAAACACTTAATAAACAATTTTAATAGACATTTTTATCACCACTCACGACAATTCGGTATGAACTTTGCTACCCCCATGTCCATTGTCCACTAGCAAAAACTAATAGATACAAGCTTGTTGGCATCATGGGTGCTACGAGTTGTAGGAAGTCCTGCCTTTTCCTCGACTTGGCCGTTGCTCACTTTACCTCCAGTCAAGTTGTCAACTCAAAAAATACAAATTTATGGAGGTCTCAGTATCACCACCTATAAATTATCTCTCCATAAGTAACTCGATTATTGGAGCTCCATCACAGAGAAGCTATCTTATTGTAACGAGAACCCCAAAAAGAATAACGAAACCCACGGTACAACAAAGGATTTTGGAATTTCAGGAAAGTCAAATTAAATTTATAATAGGGTTTTGATTTGTTGTTTATGTCGCAATAAGAATCAAAAGTAAAACTTTGATTCGTTGTTTATAACGTAACAAGAACAAAAAGCATAAAGTTAGTTGACACTACATACTTGAATGGTTAAGAACAAGAATGATAAGTCAAGTTAGAACGTTATAAGAATAATCTTAATAAGTTCTGTAAAATTTTGAAACAAATAACAGAGAAAAGTCTCTAAAAAAACTTAGATTTAATAATTGTCTCACAATTGGGGTTACAAATCCTTTAAATAGAGAAAACTAATCATAATCAAAATAGAAAACTAATATCTTAAATTATAAACTTAATAACCACGAATTGAGCTTCAAATTAATGAATATTTAACCCAAAAATAATAAAAAAAATCATGAAAATCACTCAAAATAACCTAAAAACACATGAAATATCAGTTTGCTACAAATTACGATAGAAGTGTGTAATTTTGACACAAATTATGTAATTCAATGTGAATGACGCCAATTAAGCTTCTTTTGAACTTAAATGATGTTTACCAAGCCTTAATAATCATCCAAACTTTGATTTATTTGTTGCATGCTATTTTCAACTTTGATTTGCTCAATAAGACCATTTAAAGTTTATCGCATTTTCTTAACTCTAGTTCTTATCACTGGATCTCATTAAATGTGTAATGGATTCCTTAACATGATACATGTACTATCATCTTGATTCTCATCATATTGTAGAGGAAGATGTAGAGAATGAGCAAAGAATTTGAAATTTACTGTCAAATTCATGGGTACGAGAAGGTATTTAAAATGCATGTTATTTAGTCATTGAAATACAAATGTTAAAATAAATGTATTTAAATCAAAATGTAAATACACTCATATTTTATAAAAATAAACCGTGTATTTGATTTTATAACCCTAAATTCAAATACACTTCTCTCAAATTCACATTTCCAAACAGAGCATGGATTTATTTGTTTTGGTTTTTCTATCCACCCCATATTCTTCTTCTCATTTAATGTTTTTGTGATTCATGTATCTTCTCCCATTTTCTTAGCCTATACATAGGCTCTTGTAATCTTGTATTACCCATAGAAGAAACAAAAATAGAAAGATTATTACACCGCCTCACATTGTCTCTTCATCCTTAAGTCTTCTTGTAACTCTTAATAAACTTCACCAACCAAAAATAGCTTCTGATCAGAACTAATCATATTGATCTCCAGAATTTTAACCCCATCTTCAGATAAAACACAGGAGCCATTAGGACATTCTAACTGCTCTTTTGCTGCCTGGATAAGTTCTTCCATTGTTTGCGGAACCCATAAAACAACTCCCGGCCTTTTCTCCTCTTCCGGATCCCATGGGTGGAAGGGGAAAACCGTGCATTTTTTTCTCCTCATCTCACCTGTTATTAGTAATAAACACATGTTACCACTGAAAACCACATTAAAGGAGTCATTGCTCAAGGCAGATTTCAAGCAACATATGCAACATGTTAAATGCTTTGTGCTCAGAATCACTTATGTTGGATTTCCAGAAAGCCTAGAGGCTAGAGAAATCGGCAGCGAAGATTTTCCTATATCATCCTGTTAGGATCTACAACCATAAACACACTTGTTTGATGGGGAAGAGAGGAGGTAGTGAGGGTAAAACATAGGGGGGAGCAAGATCGTTCTCCATTTCTTTGGTGTCATTTCCGGAGCTTAAAGGTTTGTACAGATTTGCCCCCTTTCGCCTAGCTTAAGGTTAAGCAAAGGAAATGGTAGATTCATTTGGCCAGCTTAAAAAAAAGGGTTAGAACATTTTATTTAAGGCATAGGATAACATGAGCCATAAAGAGATGTGGTTCTCGCTGTACCTGGAATTTGCTGAGAATTTGAATACTCAATCATCTGAGAAGCCATTGCAGCTTCTAGCAATTCAATCAAATTCTTATTTCCACCCAAGAGAGCTTCGCTGAGTGGAGTATTTCCCCATCTGCAGAGAGAAGGCAGCTAGACAAAAGTTATAACTACCAGAAAAATTCAGCAATCAAAAGAAGCAGAGACCAAGGCACCAAACATTTAAAAAAAAAAAAAAAGAAGAAAAAACGAAAAAAGAAGAGATCGATGAGTCACTAAACTATGGAATGCACCCAATCCATCATCTTGTTTTTGGCCTTTCCATGTTTGTTAAATTTGACGAGTGTTCGGCATGGTTGATGCCTATTAAATCCCAACACTCTAAGACACTTTGATAAAGAGAAATAATTGCATACAGGATCAAATCCCTGTCGTAAAGAATGATCTTAATACTACCTAAAAATCATCATTCCGTATCCATCTTGTCCCTTCTACCTGCAATAGTTCCCTCATTTTCTTTTCACTCTCACGTGAGTTAAAGATTTCATATGCTTAATAGTTGGTTCTCGTTTTTGGAAAAATGAACATCATGCTCATTTGGTGAATTACCACCTAATCAAGCAGTCTGTGGAGAAATAAGAGAAAAACTTTCAGAAGCATTCATGTTGAACCACAGATCAGCAATCCTCATTATTTCACTTAGAGAATTACTAATCAAAATCAAGTTTTGGTCAATAAAGTTAGAAAACCTTGTTAAGTATAAATAAGAAACGACTACAAGTGAAAAACAGAAAGAATGTATTTTGAAAATTTTCAATATAAGGTTATTATAATTCTTTCACACTGAATAACCTCTCTTCAATCTGATGCCAAAGACAGTGAATGTACATCATTTTCTGATCTTTTATTACGGAACAATGATATACCAAACATGTGATTTAACATCATTAGTGGTGACATCACCCTGAGATACAGTGTAGCAATCCTGCAAGTTCTACCAAACACATTCCTAGTGTTAGGTAACTTCAATAGTCGCAATATTCGTGGCAAATCTATAGTAGCATAGTTTTGATGAAAAACGTAATATTTCATTGGAAGGATAAAGGGTGGTGCATCCAGAACAATAGCAAAGTCAAGAGCTTGAGGAACAAAATGACATGCTTTGATGCGGACACAACTGGCTTTAATACTATTAAGAGTTCTAGAATGCAAACCATCCAAGGACTACATTTCTTTGACAAATAGAACCAATTCAGAATATTCATCTCAAAAGTAAACACTCCTATGATTAACTGAGCAAATATTGAATTTGTTCAGATACATATTTTACATGTGCAGTTTCAAGTTTAGGACAGAAGAAGGATTAGTATGTTCATGGTACAATCCTAGGAATAAATGAGTGTCATTATGCTAAAAATGATAATAAATTCAATTCAGGCAAAAATCGAAAAAAGGTATGGCATAAGACTATATGAATGCCTTAACATTCAGATTGTACCTGTCCTTGGACAAAACACTAGCTCGTGCTCCCAGAAGTAATTTGACTGCTAAATATAAACCTTCTGAGGCAGCAATGTGAAGTGGCGTTCGGTAATCATAATTTTTGGCATTTGGATTAATGCCACCATCCAGAACCCGTTTTAGGAGATTGAAATCTCTCCTTGCTACAGTTGCACAGAGAAAACTACCAGCATCATCAATTATTAATGATGCTCCTGCCTTCACAAGCAAGGAAGCAACTTGGTCATGCTCATGCCTGATGGCTTCAAGCAAGGGAGTTTTCCCAAATTTATCTGCGAGACAAATATTAGATAGTGATGTTAAAATCCTCTGGAAGTGAACCTACAGTCAGAAATTATCTGCATGATTCATGCAATCATATATAGCACCAAAAGAAATGAAGCGTACCCAAATCGTTGAGGTGTACTCCATGGTCAATGAGAAAAACAGTAATATCTTCATATCCTTTGGATGCAGCAATGTGCTGTAAAAGGAAAATAAATAAAAGACTGTCTTGAGGGATTTTTCACATGCAGAAATGAAAAAACAAAATGAAACCAACCGTAGTGTCTAATATACTGAAAAAGAAGAAGAAAGAAATGA